TGTCATCACCGTTTAGGGCAGTAAAACTGCTTCAATATTCTTCGAAAATATCTTGCGATGGGAAAGTGAATCTAGTTGGTGCATTCGGGAGGTCACCATTTAAAATTCCTAGTATTACCAGTATGCTACCTATGTGTTCGCAGATGTGTTCACCATCAATCGTCATAGTAACTAATTTACTATTTAATTAATAATATTTTTGATTTTAAACGAACTCGGTTTGAAAAAAACGTAGAACATATTATTTTGTTTGGTGTTTCTTAATATTCGTGAACGTTATAGTCCTATTTATGTAAGTCAAATATTTTATATTTATAATTTATTAGAGTTCATCAAAATAAATCATTAGTAGTGGACTTTTATATTTTTATAAATATTATGAAAATTACACAATTCGTAATATTATACAGGTATTTAATTGATTCCATCGGTTCTATACAAAAACCTTGCTAATGTAAATAACAGATCAATAAAAAAAATGAATTGACAGGAAAAAATTCCCGCAAATAAAATAATAAACAAAAAACCGACCGCGACCCTTTATCTGGTTTATTGGGCGTTTTGTATATGCAATATAAGTACATTCCGGATGTTATGGCTTGGCGGTGTTATTGTACTAGTAGGTATGTCAAATTGTATGCGATTTAAATATTTATGTTTTGAACAGGTTGTTTCTGACAAATTTTAAAGTCATTAATGAATTCAATATTTGAATTTTGAATGTTATAACGCTGGTTCTGTATCACTCACACTTTGAATTTTGAATGTTATAACGCTGGTTCTGTATCACTCACACACAGTGTCGGCCTGGCACACCAAAGGCCCATGGATCAGTTTTTTAAGGGGCCCTATAATGAAATACAAAATTTACTTGACATATTGGTGAGGAAATGCTCACAAATTTTTTTCATTTAAAAATACATTTATTCAAATTCCTGATTTTTTTTGTACTACTATTAAAGAGTGTCCTGTGGCTATACAAACTTCTATTTTTCAAATGAGAATTTCCTTTTTTTCTACAAATTATTTAACAGATAAATGTAGATGTACCTAAATCAAAGTTCTAATAAGTAGTTGCTGAATTATAAAAATGTGTATATACTAAGGATAATAATACTTAAAAGTTAAAATATAGTTTACAATAAAAAAACTATAAGTAGGTACCTACCTATTCATTATTATCAGTATACCTACTTAATAATTTTTACAAATTATTTATCGTGATAGGTCAATGGTAATTACTAATTAGTACTAACAACTAACTACTAACATATTCAAATCATCTAAGCCCCCAAATCTACTTAGCTAATTTCCATATACATATATTATCCTTAGCACACAAAGTTATACCTACAACTCAAAAATTACTATTTCAAATTTTGATTTTGATGCATCAAAGTTCTCAAAAAAATATCTGCTGATGATCTATGATATTACGAAGTAAGTATATTAGATGATATTAAGGTGAATAAAGTAATTTATATATAACCTATTTACGTGGAATCTTGTTTTAAATTTTCAATTCTTAGCTATAAATGTTGAACCTTTTATAAATTTTTAACTACAAAATTATTATTATTTTATATCTTTAGGTTAAAGGTTATACCCATACGTATGATTAATCTACTACCCTATTATATCTCATATCTTATAATAATGTATATACATAAACGTATTACGAAATATTATAATTAATTTACCTGAGTATGTAGTCGTATTCGTGGATATGGGGTTGAGTTCGATGCTCGAAGTCACTGAGGTATATATATATATGTATATGTATATTACGTGTCTTGATTTGTATATTGAATACTCAGTATATTAAGAGATATTTTTTGGTTAGTTCTATGTATAATATTGATGTGATTCGAACACTAATATTAGGTATATGAATTTATTGAATTTATTATCTATGATTTGGGAAGTGACTATATGCTCTTAGAAATTCCTACATCCGCAGCAATCGTACATAGTCGACTGGTTAGCCGAATGTAATTTAAGTTAAATGAGCACTTAAAATTACGCTTATGTTCTAAATAAATAAATATGATTAAGATCTAAGAATGTGTAAATTAAAGTAATACATATCTAAAATTATGCTTATATTCTAAATAAATAAATGTGATTAATGATTATGATGTAAGTTATGCTCTTAAAAATTCCTACATCCGCAGAAATCGTACATAGTCGACTGGTTAGCCGAATGTAATTTAAGTTAGATGAGCACTTAAGATTACGCTTATGTTCTAAATAAATGAGTATGATTAAGATTTAAAAATAATTAAATAATATTAATACGTGTCTAAAATTATAACTACTGTATTATACGACGATAGTCACAAAGTCTCGTATTTTAAGGGGTAAATAAATAAATAAATTTAAAAAAACAAGGTGAATTTGTCGAGTAATACGGGATAATTAATAATTGGATGGTCATACCGAATGCTGGAATAACTCAATGCACATACACATATAATCGCACCCGCTTTGAATGGCAAAAATATTGTCGAAGTGCATACTGGCGTGGACATTGTGCATCGGGTCGTCTTGTGGAAAGAACTGGAGGCGAGTCGATCCCGTGGGGTCATTATATAATATGATTTTGTTGTAAATTTGTAATCCCTTCTTCTTTCACTTATTGATGTGTTTATGATTTTGTCTTCAGCGGTATGACAAAGGTGCCGCTGGTAATTAATTGTGTGTTATTAATTATTATGTTCCAACATCTTGATCCGGAAAATTGTCGACGGGGTCTTTGAAGTACAATGCGGTGTCGTCTGGCGCTGTTGGCATGGGCGTAGTTTGGCATAATTATATGTGGGGGCTATATAGGACTAGAAAAATATACCATTTAAAAAACTCCTTTCGTTTAACTGGAATTAAAATGAAAAAGAACATTTTCTAAAAAAAAAAACAATTTATATTTGCCTTCTTCTTAACCTAGCATTTTATTTTGCAATATAAAAAAAAAGATAAAACAATTAAAATTTAATTATTAAATCAAACATAAGCTAGGCGTCTGTGTTTTTCTGAAAATATGTTAAGTACATTTTCTGATTCTATTGCATGTGATAAATCTCTTGCGATATGAAGTATTGACAAGTTTGTAAATCTATCATCTGTCATGGTATTTCTAGTCTAATTCTTTATTCGCCTCATAACAGAAAATGAACGTTCACATGAGGCAGATGATATAGGTATAGTAAGTGCAGTTTGCAAAAGTTTATAAAAATTTGGAAAAATATTGTTGTCTACAACAGGTATGATGTCATCTATTTCATAATTTTCTTTATTGATCATATTTTTTAGGACTATCATTTCAGCCTTCAATCTTTCTGGACTTATGTTTAATATTTTCTAGAAAAAAAATTTAAAAAATCAAAAAAAAATCTTAATATATAGTTTTAAACTTCATAGGTTAGGTACCTCATACTTATTAACAAACTCAATACTTTCTTCATATTTTAATTGTATAAAATTGTCCACTCCTACACCGATTTTTAAACTTTCTAATGAAAACCTATTTTTTTTTTAATATAAATAAATGTGTTTATGATAAAAATAAATAGGTAATAGGTATATGTATGTAAGTACAATAGTATTGTCAATAAACATTACACTGCTAATATTATACTATGAAGCCTTGACGAATTTTAGGGAAAATTATAACATTTAAAACTATAATTTCGCCTTTCGGATAAAATGTAAAAAATGAGGACCATGGGGATTGAGGGGGCTACATAAATTTCTGTGGGGGCTGTAATCCCCACAGCCCCCATGCATACTACGCCCATGGCTGTTGGTAATTGTTGATTTTGTTTTTACTGAGCGTCTGGTCGGAGGGGTGTTGAACATTATTTATGTTTTGCATTTGTCGTGTGTGTGCATGAGGGTGGGTAAATATGTATATGTAGTATGTACACTGGGTCACCCCACACTCCATACGGACCGTCGCTATTAGTTATTCTGTGTTTTTATTTAAGTATAGCAATATAATATATTACAAAATGTTTTCTTGTTTTTTTTGTTTAGAATTATTTTTTTGTAGTTATAATATCATTAGAATAAATGAATCAGTCAAAATAAATAAAAATATAATAAAAAAAAAAAAATGTTGGTAAGTTTCAAAATGGACCTCCGTCGAAATCAGATGGTGACCCCTTTTCTAGTGGAACAAATTTTAAACCTAATTTGAATTTGGAGATAATTACTTAACTGGACTATTTGAGATAGACTTTTTCACACTTTTAATTTTATCCCCGTTAATCCAAAAAAAGTAGTAATTTTCATACAGCTTCATTACATAAATTTAAATAAACACGTCTGATTTAATATTATAATTCTTGAAGGTTTTGAAAAAGACAGATAATCTGTCACTGGTTTGACATTTAAATCTCCATAACTATTGTCATAACTCATAATCATCTGTATTTATCTTCCTAGATTATTTGTGCATCTAAGGTTGAGTAATTAATGCATTGTTTACTTTATTATTATTTATTTATATCACATATTTTAATATGAAAAACAGTTTCATTTTATCATTACGTACAGTAACTACTGTCTACTAATATTTTAAATCATATATTTATATATTTTTAAATTAAATGTACTGACCATATTTCATTTGATTCACTATAAATTTCTTTGTATGTCTACTAATAATAAATCCAATATTTATGTCATTTAATTTAAACTAAAAAATGTTTTAATTTCTCTTTATAAGCATCTCATTTGTGTGTTTAATCTTATCATTTTTATTTTAGGTTATCATTATTTCTTAAAATAGTATTTGCTATAGTATATACTATTATAATACACAATTTTAAAAGCAAAGCTAAGCACTGAACTAATTTAATATATTGTGTTACACATGATTACATTTAACATAAATAATAAATATGTTAAAATAACAAAAAATCTATACATACACATAATTATCAAATTAACTATTATAATAATAATTTTTGAAATACATTTTTTTTTTAAGTTGAATGCGAATGCAAAGAAGAAAACTCAAACTCAACTATAATACCGAAATAAATATCGAAAAAAAGGATGGTTTTGTTTTTGAAGGATCAGTCAAAAACGAATTCCACTCTTTGGAACTAATTACACAAATTAATTCGAACAAGTCATCCAACTTAAGGAGCAATTCAAAAGTACTCTTCGCAAGAAATCCAAAGTTTCATACAAGTAAAAGAAAAAAACTGTTTATTTGTGACAGTTGTGAAAATGTACATTATACTAAATCAAAATTGATTACACAACGTTTGTGTCAAACAATCGAAAGATTTTTGTTTGACTGTCATATCAATAGTGAAAAGAATGCCACTGGGTGGGAGAACACTAGCAAAGAAACATAAGAATTATAATACTGTGTTATATATAAAATATTAAAATTACATATTTTAAAAGCACCAAATACCACGAATATTTTTAAATCAAAACAGAATAACTAATATCGTTATTCTTCGATTAATAATATTATAATGCTGTCCTAATCTGATGTCCATACAAAAAATACTGTGTTAATAATTTTTAGATTTTTTGTTTTTTTGTTTACAGTACCTACCTACGAGCTATATTTATGAGAAATCTCGTATTACATGTTCGACCATAAGCTATGATAATTGAACGTTTTATAAATGTTTAACTACAAAATGATTTACAAATGGGCACTGATGATGATGAACAACAACATCTATTACAATAGGTACCTAGTTATGACTTGTGAGTCAATCTGTAGTACATTTGCAAGCTCTTTTAGACAGCGAAAAATCAATCAGTGTCTCCATCGTAGATTTCAAAACTAATTGTTCGGTGTTATGTTTAATGAATAATATCAGTGCGGAACTAGGGGGGTGAAGCCGGGGATTGATCCCCGGGCGTAAAATTTTAGTGGGCGTAATTTTTCTTTAGTTCTTTAATTAATGCTTGGTGATAGAAGTTAAGAAAACATTTTTATTTCACATTATTTGTTTATGATGTTGTAGTGATGACGTTGGAATTAATGAAAAAAAAAAAATAAAGTTAATGGTATTATGAATAGATTCGTATTAGTATTATACTAAATGTATACTGGTATAGGTACTTGCATTAGCATACCTACTGCAAGCATATTTATATACAACTAATATACTATAATTATTAAGATTCTGAGTGAAAATGTAACTAGTAACTATACCTAGGCATATTTTATTGATGCTGTGTTTTCGTTAAAATTTCTGATACCTACACAATAACTGTTATAAGATTATCAATCAACGTACCTACGATACGTATATTATATCTGTAAATTAAAAATGATGTTAATATATAGTTTATAATATTATATATTATAATATTTACCGAGATAGTTATACATTTGTTTATGTTTAAAAAAAAAGATTTGATTTTAAATATTTACTTTTTCATTTTTTCTATTATAAATTGTTTAATTAAGTACAATTTTTTACTGGCCTAAATTGTGTACCCTAATCAGAATAAAAGATTTTATATTTTACCATAAAAATCTATTATAATTGAAGGCTGAGGCGCATAGAACCAAAACAGTAAAAGGGTTTATAATTTTTATACAGGATAGGTAGCTAATTAAAGTTTTGATTATTTTTCAACATTTATATATAACTAATATTATTATTATTTCTAATAATAAATACAATTAAGTAACCACTACAGTATTTCCAGTAATTAAAAATGTATCAACAATATGTTAACTAAGTTTTTAAATTTAAAGTGTTTTTGGTGTGAATGTGTGATAGTTTATTAGTATAAACTTGGTTACACCACAGTCCACAGAATATATTAATTACTATATATTATTATGTGTTTAAAAGTTAATAAGTATGTTTGTAATTTTAGTTCCAGTTATGATAAAACAATTGTAGGGAATGATTTTGTATATTCAATCTTGGTCTATGATTGTGCTTAATTTTAATATTTTCCCCGGGCGTAAAAATTCTTAGATCCGCCTCTGAATAATATACCTATATTATGTGCATATTGGTATATTAAATTTATATAATATCTACTATATTATACAGTAAAATAGAATATAAAACGTTCGCAGCGATAGAGGGCGCCGAGGTTATGGATATGGACAAAACAAAATGTAAAATGTAAACAAAATCGATAAACGAAAAACGAAAATAATTGTAGTATAATATACAAGTATGTGTATACTATAAGTATGAATGCCATATTATTAGGAAACGGAAATGATAATTTGCACGGTATATTATTATTACACGCGTTTAACGATGCGAATTTGAACGTTTTCGTGGTGTATATATATATATATCGGAAAATTTCCGATGGAAAATAAAATTCTCGACGAGGATAAAGGTCATGATTATGAATCTTACAAGTTATGAATATGAACAATTCAAAATTGGCAAACCTATACCTATGTTAACAGTAATTTATATTTTTGAAATACGCTGCTTGTCTTATAAATATTGAATTTAATGGAATATTAGTTTATTTCTGTAATTCAAATTTAAATAAGATAAAGACCTGCGAACGTGTGGTTTGGTTACCTATACCTACTAAATACTTATATAAAATTAACATTATTATGCCATTTCAAGTTGTATTATATTGTTATACTTACATATATTTTTTAATAAAATCTATTATTTTATCTTTCATTCATGCCATAATGTTTGAGAAAAAATTGACACCTAAACTAACAATAACTTGCCAGTTATAGCTCTACTTAATATAAATCCTAGGATGATTGAAAATAATGTTTCTTGGAAAACAATTTCTACTAATTTGACTTAAATATTGGTGTACTCACGAGGTACAAGCGTTGCCTTTTTCGTAAGAAAAAAAATTATTACTCACTCCGGTATAGGTACACACGCACAAAATTGCGTTCTAGGTTTCTACTACACCCAAAACAAGCAAAAAGTATATTTTACTTTAACAGGTAAAAACGCTAAACTTGCTCAGGGTTTTACTACCCGAAACGTACACAATTGTCGTACTTCACTTGTACAAAAAAAAATTGGTGTGCCAACGGAATTTTTCCCAGACCACTCGTAAAACCTGTTGCACTTCTCGTACAATATAACTCGATAATATAATGTATTAAATATTTACCTGGTTCCTCCGAGTTAATTGTATCATAAATTAGTGAGTTAGAAAAATATTCGTTTATTCTTTTCATTTTTATTGTTTTATAAAATATTTAAACAGTAAGTACAATTTACTAAACGTCCAAAGAGTCAGGAATTTGATTGAAAACTGAGAAATAGATTCTATACTATACAGGGTGATTTTTTTATCGAAGAACACTCATTATTTCAAAAAGTATTAATGTTTAAGAAAATATTTTTTTACATAGTTTCAAGTTGTTAAAAAACAATATTTTTATTAAAAAATTATATTTTTAAATATTTTTTATCCTTTTAATTTTTTAAGTTTTTTACTTTTTTGAATGACAACATCTAATTTTAATTTGATATTCAAAAACAGAATATTTTTCTGATTATTTTAATACATAAAAATTGAATTTAGGGCAATTAGTTTATGAGTTATAAGTATTTAAAGTTTAGATGAGCGGAGTAGAGTGGTACGGGGTTACCCCGCGAAATGTTTGTCCTCTACTCCGCTCATCTAAACTTTAAATACTTATAACTCATAAACTACTTGCCCTAAATTCAATTTTTATGTATTAAAATAATCAGAAAAATATTCTGTTTTTGAATATCAAATTAAAATTAGATGTTGTCATTCAAAAAAGTAAAAAACTTAAAAAATTAAAAGGATAAAAAATATTTAAAAATATAATTTTTTAATAAAAATATTGTTTTTTAACAACTTGAAACTATGTAAAAAAATATTTTCTTAAACATTAATACTTTTTGAAATAATGAGTGTTCTTCGATAAAAAAATCACCCTGTAGTATTAGCGATACTGCGATAGCTATTAAGGCACGATTTACACGATTGTCGACCCTCATGTTTGTATTTGAACAAATTTCCCAATAATTTCATTAATTTGTAACAAGTTATCAATAATATCTACAATATATTATAACAACAAACTGGGTTGCTTATAAGTTATAATATAATGGAGTATAATTTGGAATATAATATTTTTTTAAATTGTCATCATTTTTATTATACATTTTTACGTTATTACGTAAACTGAAAAAATACTAAAGGGGGGGGGGGTGAACACCCCCCTCCGTGTGTACGCCACTGGTTATCCCCAGTGACCGATGTCCTATATTATGCTTGTATTCAATTTACCTTATATTGCTATCCTATTGGTATCTAACCTAACCCGATGATTGAATCAAGGTTGATCGTGGTCGAAGTGTCTGGTTAGGATTGAGGTCAGGCCGTCAGGGCTTAAATCAAAAACAATAATATCGTTTACCGTTATATTATACGTATATATTAAACGTTATGATCGAATGACTGTTTAACGTTATAGAGAATTTAAACGTTATTCAATTTATGCGTTTAAACGTTATACAAATTTAAACGTTCTTCAACTTAAGCGTTTAAACGTTTTACAAATTTAAGCGTTATGAAGTGTTTAGAGTTATCTGATGGATTTAGTTTGTTTCCTACTCAAAACAGAATTACAAATTGAAAAATATAATATTACAAAAATAAACATAATATATATTTTACTGATAGTTATAATTTTATAAATATTTTTTTTTTCAGGCAATTATAAGTTTCAATTGTTTCTGTTTCTGTTCCGTTATCCGTTTCCAATCGTTTATCGTTTACCGCCGATATGTTATCCGTTAACCGTTTCAATCGTTTATCGTTTACTGGTACCTAGGTTAACTATTATTCGTTTCAATCTTTTATCGTTAATCGAATTTTAAAAAATGACCTCCTGAATGCACCAACAAGATACTAACTGAAGTTGAAAATCGAAGCATTATTTCGATTAGGTACTTATCGTGTATACAGACACAAAAAAAATTTTAAAAAACACATCATTGGAAAATCAATACAATCATCGCTTCGCTCAGAATCTAAAATATTTAATGATTAAATTATAATATAATAATATACCGTGTCTTAAGGATTTTTTTCAAGTAAAATAATTAGAAAAATATTTTGAATAAGTTACCTAACTATGATTATACCTATATTGTCTTATATTCTGAAAAAAGTGATATCTACTCTTATAGTCTTATTTAACTTAAAAGTAGTACTAAAAAAAAATAGCCATATTCCACATTCTGAATAGGATTATATATTGTTTGTAATAAAGTGTTTTACATACAGGGTTGTTTTAATATAGCAGCGATTTCTCTCCAAATGGTTTCTTTATATTATGCATGATCACTGTATTTTTTGATACTCATATAAACAAAGTCGCTCTCTG